GACCCCGTAGGACAACAGCAGGGAGGAGTCCTCCATCATCTGGGTTTTGTACACCACCCGGATGTCACCCTCTAGGAGAAATAAAGAGACTTAACTCAGGGTTAGCTTACCACTGACGGAAGAGGAGGGAATATGATGGTGTCACAGCAAGGTTTTGTATCAAGAAAGGTGTGAAACGTACTTATGCCAAATTTGTCAGTAATGATCAATTTCAGGTCCTGCACAGTCATCTTCTTCAGCTGCTCCTCAGTGTCACACAGGTCGATGATCTTCTCCTCTCCCCTGGGTCCATTTACTTTGAGCTGGATCACCATTTGGCTGCTGAGCCTGTTCAGTGAGGACTGTGTGAGCTGCGTCTGCTCAGGTGCAGAGGATATGGAATGAAACTAGAATGCCGATGCAAGGTTTTTATGGACGCCTAATAGGGCAAATGAAAAATCACATGACTTCAAAGACAAGTTAAACAACTCCATTCACTCCACTGTTGTTTTGGAGAAGGAGACGGGATGGGCTCAAAGCTGACAGCTGAGCAGAGAAAGAGTGAGTCTGGACAACTGAGCAATACGGCAACTCAACAGAAGACGAGTCACTCTGGACAACTAAGCAATTTAGCAACTCAATAGAAGAGAAGTGATTCTGGACCAATGGGCAACATAGCAACTGAACAGAAGACTAGTGATTCTGGCCAGCTGAGCAATTCAGCAACTGAGCAGAAGAGAAGTGATTTTGAACAAATAGGCAATGTTGCAACTGAACAGAGGAGTAGTGATTCTGGACAACTGAGCAATTTAGCAAATGAACAAAAGAGAAGTGATACTGGACAACCAAGCAACAATGTAGCAACTCAACAGATGAGAAGTGATTCTGGACAACTGAGCAATGCAGCAACTGAGCAGAAGGGGAGTGATCCTGGACAACCGAGCAATTTAGTGACTCAGCAGAAAATAAGTGATTCTGGACAAGTGAGCAATATAGCAACTCAACAGAAGACGACTGTTTCCAGACAACTGAGCTATAATTCAGCAACTGAGCAGAGGAGGAGTGATTCTGGACAACTGAGCAATGAGGCAACTCAGCAGGAGAGGAGTGATACTAGACGATTGAAAAGGAGTTTGTCCATTAAGAGGAGTAGAAGCTTTTCCTCAAAAATGAGAGCAAGTTTTGCATCTCGACAGAAGAGGAGTGATCCGGGACAACCAAGCAATTTAGCAACTGAACCCAAGAGCGGTGATTCTGGGCAACTGAGCAACTGTGTTGCCGCTGAACAGGAGAAGTGTTATGACGTCAGCGACAACACACTTTCTTTCGTCGATGGAGATGATGATATGGACTGTAAGTAGCCAAGTTGATTTCAAATTTATTCAGATATCTTAAAGACTATTAATAACCTCATCTATTATAGGATCGACCGCTGTCTATGACTCATGTCTTCACATTATTAAGCTCTCAGAAGTTTAACCAGTAGTACTTGTTTTTGTGTGTCACATAGTCGAGTGCAATGACTACAAGTCTCTCAGAGCAAAGATGTCCTGTGGTCATGTTGTCACCCCGATGTCTCTCACCAACTGGTGTCACTGGTTGTTGGACCAGGTAATGTATTGGCGAATCTTCACAACAAAAATCAAATAGTTGGCAAAAAACAAGATCTTGTGACCTCTCCCTGTGATTGACCGTCATCACACTGATAGAATGCTGGAAAAGAAATGTGTTATTCATGTAGAGTGGCAGCTAAATGGATAGCCTTAGCTACGGTTAGCTCATTGGCCTACATTACCACTCGGCTAGTAGAAAGCACTTACTATTACTATTACTTATCATTTACTGTTGGCTAAATTAATATCGTTTGTTGAAGAGGGTTGGCATAACTGAAAAATGGTTAATTTTGTGATAAAAGCACCAAATTTGGACAGCTGTATATCACAGATTGGCACTCAGATGACCATGACGCAAAATCCAACATGGCTGCCACCTTAAAACCATTTTGTCTATAACTCTTGAACCAGATGAGCTACAAATATGAACTTGATGTTTTATTTACGGTTTTGACTTAACGAAACACAACTGAATGCTTATTTCTATGATTGGATGCATCTGGAACTCTTATTTGCATATTTCCAAGATGGCAGCTACAAGAAATAAGTCCCTGCAACAGGACCTGCCATTGGTGCTCGAGGCCCTGGTGAAGGATCCCTTTCAGCCTCTGGAGCACTCCTCTCTGAAGGCGTTGACATCCAAGACAGCTTTGCTGCTTGCGTTGACCTCAGCTAAGACAGCATATGAACTAATCACCCCATCTGTGCACCCAAGTTGCTTGCTACTTCATGTTGACCGCAGTGGGGCTTCTCTCACACAAAATCCTTCCTTTGTTCCCAAGAACAGAAGGAGTTCGTTCAGGTCATGAGTTATAGAGTTAGGTGCTTTTTGTCCTCCACCCCATAAGGGGGAAAGGGAGGCAAAAACACATCTGCTCTGCCCACTTTGTGCTCTGGCATGTTATGTTGAACCCGTGCCCTCCATCAGATGCGCTGAACAGTTGTTTGTGTGCTTTGGCTATCAAAGAAGAAGCCTGTGTGGGATAGAATGAAGGTTACAATATTGTAACCCTAGTTCTGCTAGCACAGGCAGAGCCCTCCACCTAGGGGTCCTGTTGTTCCTACGCCACTCGCTGAAGAGGGTATCGGATCTCAATCGCAGGAATCTGCCTCCAAATATACTGTGGGGTCCGCACCTCTTCTGGTCGGCACGTCCCAATTGGCAGGCTACGTTTATGCTTTTCTCAGTGCGCGAATGCATGCTCCTGGTTAGAGGAGTATTACCCGGTATTCATACTTCGTATGACTTGATTGTGGATAAAGTGGGCATACAATATCACTCTGGACATGGAATCACAACATGGACAAAGCTCATCCCCTGAACTCTCAATTTGGGTGAAAAAGTGTGTGTAAATTAAATTTTTTGGTAATATGCAAATTAGAGAGCATTATAAAGTTATATTATGCTTTTAAAATAAATCAGGAATCAAAGTATCCCAAAGTGTTTCTAATGCTTAAAATTATTCAACAGACACTAAGTTTTCCAAAAGAGATGGCATCATGTGATGGGCTCAGGAGTTGTAATTCCACTGTTTGGCCACTACAAAAATCGGCTTCAAAGCCCGGCTCATTTCCTGGGGGCCTGTTAGCAACAACGCTCAGGTGCTTGGTCTTGCTCTAGCTGACCGCGTCCGTGTCCATACAGTAGCTTAAATTCTTGTTTTTCTTTTTAATTCATTCATATTAATTCATGAAAGTTTGTCTGATTTTCTTTTCAATCCCCAAGGGTGAGTGCAGATTTGTGTGTGGCCAGACTGACTGTGATGTTGAGTGGACGTATGAAGAAGTTTGTAAAATGGCTCTGCTGACCCCTGAAGAAATGGATTACTTTGAAAAGAAGCTGTTCAGTAATGCTGCCAAGAACTACTTCGACATCAAATTAGTAAGTACCTTACTTACACTTTTTACAATCTGTTCTTGGAAACCACATTTCCTAGCTGTGCACTCATATGGGCCTACAAAAGATGGATTTAAAAAAATCTCTATCTTTGTTTTCTGAATGAACAGTGTCCTGGCTGCAAGTATTCTGTGGTGAGAACTGACCTGGATAATCTCAGGGTCTGCTGCACAGTGTGCACAGCTAACAAAAATGAGGCCTTCTCATTCTGCTGGCAGTGCCTGAATGAATGGAAACATCCATCCCCATATTCAGACCGCTGTGCGAATGAAGGTTGCATCAACAAGTCACTAGAAATATTGATGACCTGCCCAGATATCAGCTTCGAGGATGTGAGGGGGGTCACTGGCTGTCCCTCCATCCGTGCCTGTCCCACCTGTGGTCTGCTGGTGGAGCATGACAGAACTCACTGTAAAAATGTCACATGTCAGCGGTGTAAGGTGGAATTCTGTTTTGTGTGTCTGAAGCTCACTGAAAAGTGCAAGAAGCTGAGGGAATTATCATACTACATACTTTGCCCCAGTGGTGTCGCCCCAAGACAGACCTCTATACCTGTGTGGAAAAGGAAATAGACTGTGAGTGCATCAGCTTCTATTGATTTAACACTGTACTTTTTTGTTTTTTGAAGCGACCTAGTTTCTTTGCAGTGTCATGTATCTATAAGCCTGTTTATGAAGTCTTATGTGGTATTTATACTTCTGCATATAATTGACGCTGTACCTATGGTGTAGGCTCTGCGTCAACGTAGAGCCTACACTGTAGCCTGACGTGCACCTCCCCAGAAATGTAACTACACGTCACTGCGACGCAGACCTCCTGTCTGTTTCTGTAAGCTGAAACCATTTCCCTCAGTGGAAACAAAGCTTTTATTTACTTTAATTTCACAGATAAGAAACAATAAATTGTGAAGACAATAAAGCCTCCACAAAAATAGCATTTTAAGTCTTGTGTGTGATTTATCCTGGCTTCATATGAGCAGTGGAAATCTCCGCTCGTTGCTAGGCTAATTTACAAAATGTAAAATGCCATAGGCTTGTGCTAATAACGTTAGCATGTTGTATTTGTTTGGAAAAAGTGTTTAATATAAGACAGTTGTTTTGGCGGTGAACCTTGTGAGGTGTAATGGAGCTGAATTTTGTAACGTTACCTTTGTTTAATGTTGCTGTTGTTCTTGGATTTATATGAGAAGAGGAAAAGTCCACTAGCCACTAGGCTAATTTATACAATGTAAAATGCCATAGGCTTGTGCTAATAATGTTAGCATGTTGTATTTGTGTATAGGTTTAGCAATGTTTTCTCATTATTTAAGTATAATTTATTGGCATCATGTCTGGGGCAGGAAACTGTTAATGACTGTATTTTCTGTTCAATAAAAAAAAATCTGATTAAAATGTAAATTTATCATGTAAAATTTGTTTGAATTAATTATTTAATTATTTCTCTTGCACATTACTCTGAGAAAAATAAGCCATGAAAATGAAAATTCAACATTCAATGTTTTTAAAGGCAGCTGTTTGCTACAGATCAGTGTGATGCTCCGGGGCAGAGTGGATCCTGATCCTGCAGGAGCAACATTTCCTCACAGACACCACGGCTGCAGCCAGGAGACACACAGCTGCAGTGACGCTGAGCGCTGAGGCTGCAGTGAGGTCTGCGGGAAGTCTGAGGGGCGACCAGGTCTCGTTCTGGGCTGAAGTTACACTCTCACTGACCAAAAAAAGAAATAAAATAGTTAAGTATATAGGTTACTGTAAATCAAAATGGTACTTGCTGAAAGTTGTACTTGCCTTGTTATAGAAGCAGGAAATGTACTGAGGTCATCTGAGGGAGGAGTAACGTCAGGGTACACACATAACCTCCTGTCAGGGCAGTGGAGTAAACCCTGGTATCCTTTGATCTGATGGTTAAAAACAGCAAAGAACAGATAGTGTGATGAAAGTTCAGATGAGAAGTGAAGATCTGTTTGGTGCTGTATGCAGCATTTGTTTAAAGATATAATTAGGCCCTTTTTTGACTTTGATTGACAGAACATTTGTTAGCATGAAAAGGGGAAAGGGGGCATGTAGCAAAGGGCTGTAGGTTGGAGTTGATCCCGCGGCCACTACGGCAAGGACAAAGCCTTTGTATATGGGGTGCCTGCTCTACTAGGTGAACTAATGGGTGCCCTGTATGGAGCATTTTTAAACACCAGTGTATTATTGTCACGTCAGGTGTTATGTTTTGGTAAAGACCTTGGTTTTAAAGCATATTGTACCCTCTCTAAATACAGTGTTGGAATGTAACTAAGTACATTCAAAATTGGAGGTATTTGTACTTATTGATTTATACTGTGGTAACACAGGGTTGTGTCATGTTACCTGAATGGTGCCCCCTGCTGGACAGTTCACCCACTCAGAGCCAGACACCTGGATTTGGTACCTGTTCGGTCCAGTGCATCTGTGTCTGTAACAACGTCCCTCCACAGAGCTGTTGAACAAAAGAATCTGACTCCAGTTCTAAAAGGAAGAAATTAATGTTAAAAGGATAGTGCACCCAAAAATGAAAATTCAGCCATTATCTACTCACCCATATGCAGAGGGAGGCTCAGGTGAAGTTTTAGAGTCCTCACATCCCTTGCGGAGATCCGAGGGGAGAGTGGGTAGCAACACAACTCCACCTAATGGAGGCTGGGCACCCCAGATTAAAACGTCCAAAAAACACATAACTGAAACCACAAAATATCTCCATACTGCTCGTCCATAGTGATCCAAGTGTCCTGAAGCCCCGACATAAAAAGTTGTTTGGAAAAAAAACGTCATGTCAGTGTACAGAGAAGCAGTGCTACAGGCTACAGTGAGGCTAAAAACAGAGTTCAACTGACGTTTTTCCAAACAACTTTTTATGTCGGGGCTTCAGGACACTTGGATCACTACGGTCGAGCAGTATGGAGATATTTTGTGGTTTCTATTATGTGTTATTTTGGACGTTTTAATCTGGGGCGTCCAGCCTGCATTAGGTGTGCAGTTGTGCTGCTACCCACTCTCCCCTTGGATCTCCGCAAGGGATGTGAGGACTCTAAAACTTCACCTGAGCCTCCCTCGGCATATGGGTGAGTAGATAATGGCTGAATTTTCATTTTTGGGTGCACTATCCTTTTAAAGGAATACTCAACTTACAAAGTGTCAGTTGTATAGTAATTACTCAGCCTAAGTTATGCTGAATTAGTAAAGAATCCAAAACCAGAGAAAATTCTTGGTGAACTGAAGTCATAGGGGTCCATGTGCCATACCAATACTTCATCATAATATCTGTTTATAAACTCTCACACAACTCGTGCAGTATAATCTAAGTGTCATTTATCCAATTGTGTGCTCAGTACTTCACAAACAGACAGCCCTCTCTGATGGGGGAATGACGGGACAGTGAAACTTTTCTATGCTCTCTTCAAAGCCAGAATTCATTGGCAAAAACAGTAATTTTATCTTACTGAACACGGGAGCTGCTGGTCTACCACTGCTTTCATAGGTAGTGCATTTGTGTTATTGTGTGACTTTGGTGAATCCGAACTAACCCTTTAAAACACTAAAGTTGAACAATAACACAAACCAACTGCACTTCCGAATAGTCCGTTTTCCACCGCAGGAACTTTTATCATTTATCTGGAATTTTGAAAAACCTCAGCGCGTTTCCATAGAAATTACCCGGGGAAAAAACTTTGCCTCAACCCCAAACTTTCCCTGAAAAAAGTACCTCATAAAAGGCGTAGGACAGATTCCCCGGAATTCTTGAGGGGCAGAGCTGTTTGCTGATTGGTGGAATGCACTTCGGTGCCAGTGTGGCTGCAAACTTTATTTCATTTCTACAAGCTTCACTTTGTTTGTGTTTTGATCATTTGGAAAATGGAGCAAAAGAAGAGAAGCTATGAGAAGTGGACGGATGACGAGTTCCAGGCTCTTTTGAGCGAGTCTATGAAAGAATAGCCGACAAGCTGTGATGTCATCAGCCTGATTTTTTGCAGACCACACAGATTACCAGGAATTCTTTTACCCTGGTAAATAAACTCCTGTAAATAAAAGTTCCTGGAAATGTTGGTGGAAAAGGAGCTTATGACTTCAATTTTTGGATTCTTCGTCCACTGTCGAGGCATGCAAAAAAAACAAATTGATGTACAAATGGCCACTTGGAGGTAAAGTAAAAAGAAAACAGTTGGTGACAAGCATTCACACACATGCTCACACACACACTCACCTGTCTGGTCAGGCTGGAGAAGAAGCAACGGCTGCCGAAACCAAAGATCTCCCCGCTCTCCTCTTCAGCAGACTGCCTGCCATTTTCCTCTTTCCAGCATTCACTCTGAAGAACAAGGGGAGTAAGTAAGATGCTGCAACGGTAATAAAATGCCACAGATTGCAAGAAAACAGCATTGGTCCCATATTCTTGCTTTACACATGAAAGGATAAACACTTACTCCATTCTTGAGGGGTTTATACACCCGACATCCCTCCAGGTATTGATCAGTCTGGCACTCCCCCTTGTGGAGGTGAAGATAATGACACCCAAACCCACTGAGAAGAGAGAATAATGCAAATATTAGTGCTGGAAATGTAGTATGTCAATAAAAAATGAGCCACATTCCACTTACAAAACATTAGCAGTTACGTAGAAAATAGATTTATAACTATAAATCTACCTGCCAGTGCAGAAAAAGGACGAGGACTTGTCCTGACAGGTTGACACAGAACCAAACGTGGCTCCTTCACCTGTTAAAAAAACACATTTAGCCTGTTTCAACTAATCACTTCAATCTAATGACACATAATTCTGTTTTTTTTTTTGTAATTATGATCATGCAGATTATACATTTGTTCATGTGATTACATTTAATATCTTTATCTTTCCTCACCGTCTCCCCACACTAGACTCTGTGCCCGGCTCAGGTCGACAGTGTACCAGCCTGTATCCTGTAACGCATTTAGGGTGACCGGGTCGATCCGGACTGTGGTCCAGTCCCCCAGCGCCGCGTCCATGATGGAGCCCTGCAGGACCCGGGACTCCCAGTGCGAGGACACCCTGCCTGGAGGAACATCCTGAGGGAAGAGAGTGTCAAACATTTAAGGAGAGCACACACTAAATCTACAAATAAGGTTAAAGGGACAGTTCACCCTCATATTTAGTGCCTTTTGTTATTGTAGATTATTTTGGTGTGAGTTGCAGAGTGTTGGAGATATCAGCCGTAGAGATGTCTGCCTTCTCTCCAATATAATGGAACTAGATGGCACTCAGCTATGGAGGAACAATGGAGTATCAATAAATAAATAAATAAATAAATACATTTGTAAATAGCCTTTTGGCTAACTCTGGCAGTTTTATACCATGTGTTTTATCAATTTGTACTGTCCTGTCTTCAGTAAACTAAACTTAATTAAATTAAATTAAACATTTGTAAATAAATAAAGGCATAAATAAATAATTAAGAAAAAGGTGTGAATAAATAAAGTGTATAAATAAATACAGGTATAAATCCAAAAATATAGAAATAAAAATACATATAAATAAAATCAGGAATAAATAAATAAATGACCAAACAAATACAGGAATAAATAAATGTGTAAATAAATACAGGAATAAATAGTTAAATAAATAAGGAAATAAATAAATAAATGCTGACATAAATGCATAAATAAATAAAAGACTAAATGAATAAATCAATGTTAAAACAACAATGTGAAATTAAATTGATTGATGCATAAATAAATATAAATTGACAATTAAACAGGTCATAAATAAATGGATATCTTAAATTTATTTCTACTTTTTGTGCGACTACATTGATTGATTTCTGTATCTGTATGTTAATGGGGTAGGAGGTCCTAACCTCTGCATTTATTTTTTTTTTATGCATTTATTATATATTTCCAGATTCATTTCAGTGCTTATTTAATCTTTTATTTATTTATTTCTGTATTTATTTACACATGATTACATCATTGTTGTCATCCAGATTCGGCTTGTGGTGCTCAAAGTGACAAAAAAATACATTTAAAAAACTCAACAGCAATGTGTCTTTACAGAAATCATGACCAAGTTACTTTAGATAATCCACCAAGTTTGTTGTGAGCAGTTTCATGTAGGGACTATTTTCTTTCTACTCAACGACACCTGCCAAGTATCACAGCACAGAGGGGAGCATGTACCACAAGCTGAGTGCCATCTAGCTCCATTATATTGGAGAGAAGGCAGACATCTCTACAGCTGACATCTCCAACACTCATTAACTAATTGTCAGAGAACAAATATCTACACTGGATTTTTTTGGGTGAACTGTCCCTTTAAACTGGAGCTACTCAGTACCAGGTTCTCTAGCGGCCCCCCTAGCTCAGGGTCAGTAGATGCCAGGTGCCTCTTAAGTTCTGAGATGACAGATGGGGTGTAAATCCTCATCTGGCCCGATCCATCAGAGTGCGTCACTTTGCCTCGAGGAGAACAGACAGCCCCCACTGGAAGAAAAACACCATTCTCTGACCAATGCATATTAACTTTTATGTGTAGAAAGGCGTCCTTACTTATTTTAGACAACATATTATATAGGATTCTATTGCTGATCCTCTTAAAATCCTAATTACACACGTGATTAAACACTATTATATAAGACTGTCATACCACATCATGTTTCAAAGGTTGACACAGTGGTATCAAAATGTGTTTAAAAACCTTGAGAGGAGGAGGAGCAGTCTCTCCAGGTGTGGAAGAGATCTTTAGAGAAACCAAGTGCATGAAACAGCTCGTGGATCACAGTCTGGAAAACAGACAGACTTCCTGTATTCACACAGAGCCATTATTTGTTTTATTTGGTGTCATCTCAAAAACAAACAAATTTTATAACATTTTATCAAACTGCCTGTATAAAAAAGAAGCCTAAATATTATCAATGGTACCTGTACAGTAGCCTGGTGGCTGTATGCGGCTCCTGTCAGCCTGTCCCTGCAGATGACCACCACCCCGGCTACAGGTCGTCCATGAGAGTCTGTCTGACAGTGGACAGCGTAGGCCAACACATTAGGCTGAGTGGAGGACAGGACATAGTATGAGGTAAATAACAGCAGTGAATGGCAGCATAATGGCCGCAAATACTTTTCATTAGTGCAGATCTCAGCACAAGAGAAGAAACATTTCATCCTGAGCTAAAAAAAAAAAAAACAGTGATGCACTCTGTTTTAAAGCTTCTTAAACATTTTGTTTGTCTGTTGCTGCTTTTTATTTTTTAAAGAAAATGATCATTTAAATCGTGAGTGTTTAAGATGTGACAAAAAAAATTTACTTAAAATGTTTGAATTTTAAGGGTCATTTAAAAAAAAAATCTTGTGGTTATAATGGATTATTTCAAAAGCTCAGAACGTTAAACGCATAAATTACTGTATCCTTACGTTATTTTATTTCCTTTATTATTTCAGCCATTTTTGCATATCTGTTTTATAGTAAACATGACTTTTTAAATTTTAAAAAGGTCCAGTGTGTAGGATTTAGTGGCGTCTAGCAGTGAGGTTGCAACCAACTGAAACTTCTTCCATGTGCCAAGCGTTGAGAAGAACTATGTTAGCTGACGCAAAAACGCGAATGGCCCCATCTAGAGGCAGTGTTTGCTTTGTCTGTTCTGGGCTACTGGAGAAACAAAATGGCTGACTCAGTGGAAGAGGGCCCGCTCTGTATGAAGATAAAAATGTCTCATTCCAACGTAACGAAAACACAACGATTCAGGTGATGACAAGCTAAAGAAAACACCATGTGCGGCCCCTAATTCCTGCACACGGGACCTTTAACTGCCATATTTAATTGAAACTGAAATTTCCACCACTAACTACGCTGCCATACACACGACTGAGTCATATCATGAGTTGATAAAGTTCATACAAGTTGAATCAACCTGTGATTTCAATTTTCAATCATCAATTGTGGTCGATGCTTTTGGTTTCCATTGAGCTTTGTTACGTCATTTTGTTCTCAACAAAATATAAAATGCACACCAGGAAAGATTTCCAACTTTGTTCATCAAGATGTGATGTGTGATTTAAGCGTTTCCCTAATTTTTTGAGCAGTGTAACTACTTTGAAACACTTCTGAGACACGTTTGAAAAGTGGGTTTTCACCTCTGCTCGGCACTTGTCAGTAGCCTGCACATGGAGGTACAGCAGGAAGTCAGTGTCGGGGACTCCAGCACCGTCAGGACGGAGCTCAGTCCTGTGAGGTGAGTCACCCTCTGGGTAAATATCACATCCAGCCAGGTGATCATCTGGGATCTGTTCCGAACAGGGACGGCAAACAAGCAGACACAGGTACATGCTGTGTGTGTGTGTTTTTTTCCCAGCTTACCACAGGAATACACTCCAAATCCCTCTGACTGATACTCACTGTCACATCCAGACAGGTCTCAGATCTGTAGTTGCTGTTGGCTCGACCACACCTGAAGGAAGAAAACGGACTCAAGTGAAAGGGGGAAAGGTGGGATCTATTTTAAATGTAATTCAGCAACATTTTAGTGCGGATATATATTTAGTTTTATCGATTTATTTATGGTGATTTTCGTGTTGTAACAAAGTGAAGTTTACACAGTTCACAGACAGCTACACACACACACACTGGATACACACCTGTTGTAGTTGGCAGAACTTGAATTCCTCCAGAGAAACTTGCAGTATTTATTTACGTCTCTGTGGAGCAGCAGTGGGCCTGGTGCTCTCTCCACTGTTGAAAGGTCAACAGTTCATTATAGTACGTGTTGGCCTGTTTCTGTGTATGTGTATATGTGTGCGTGTGTGTGGTCTGTTTGGCCACCTGACAGTAAAGACGACACCATCCTCACAGCCTCCTCCACAGCGGCCTCCAGCCTCTCTCTCTCAGCCTCTGATAGCTTGTTGCTCTCCCTTGCAATCCACGTCCGGATCCTGATTGGCTGTGGAGAAGCAGGAGTGGGTGGGGCTATCTTTCCACTCAGAGGTGATGCCCTCCTGAGTCTGGGCTCGTTGTGTGGGCCGTCTGCAGGTCGGACCACCCCGGCCTGGACCTGGATCTCGTCGTGGATGCACTTCTGCAGGGCTCCAGGGAGCTCCACCACCATCAGCATTACCACCAGCATCCCCACCCAGAGTCTCTGGGATGGAGGTGAAACCATAATTACAGCTGGGACCTATTTCAGGGTCACAGCGAGGATGGTGAGTAGTTGTTAGACATTTTGGGTTAGGAGCTTTGACTGCAGGATGCATTTAATCACAGCAACGCAGGTTTTCTTTTGGATCAAACTAACCAACCAACCTGACAGCGACACTCTTCAAACTCCAGTATTTTTAATGGGGACAACAATTTTGAAACTGGTCGAATATTAAGTGAGAGGGCTGCAGCTGGCGGCAATGTAACGACTCGGGACGTTTGCCCTGCCAATTTGCATCCACTAAAGTGCTTGTTTTTGCCACTGACAGGCTCAGATTGTTACTATGAGTGTTACGACATTACAGAAAGGACCCTACAGAGAAATAAAACATTTTTTTGTACCTTTAGCTTGTTCCGGTCTGTTGTAACCCAGTCTCAAGTCTCGTCCTGAAATCGCGTGAACTTTTGGTAAGTATTTGAAAGACTTTCTGTACACCAACGCAACAAATTTACCAACACTCCTCTCTCCAACTTCCACCATTTTGTTCCTGCTACGAATCATTTCTCGTGAGATTTCAGAAAGAGACGTCTTGCTCAGCGAGATTTGAACACAGAAGTGTAGTGACCTGGGGTGCACACGCACAAAACAAGGCCTGAAAGAGGCGTGCACCACTTCCCATGGAAAAGTCGCAATCTATAAAAACAGACTTGATGGAAGAAACTTTGACCCATGCTAACGAACATTTTGGAGGCAGGAAACGGGCAACACAGAAGGTGAGGTGGAAGTCAGACTGCAGAAATATTGTCAAATATTTTTCGGCGCACGCCATTTTTGGCTTCTGTCTGTCCGTACATTTTTGGTATTGATCCACTGCATTCTTTTATAAATGAGATCTCTGGAAGGGTTTATGTGTTTTTTGTTGTAGAATCATATCATAAGCAGAAGTCCATTTAGCATGAGTGATTGAACTTAATTTAATTTAATTTAAAACTCCAGTCTGTAGGATTTAGGGGGACATATTGGCAGACATGGAATACAATCTAATAAGTGTGTTTTCTTTAGTGTATAATCACCTGAAAATGAGAACTATCATGTTTTCATAACCTTAGAATGAGGTATTTATAGCTACTAGTCCATACCCATTGGTAGCTTTGTCACCGTCTGCCTATGACAGTCCTCAATGCCTATGTGCAGTTTCACATAGATTGACCACGTCAGTGAGTAGAAAAACGTGGGACAGACAGAATGACTGACTGACAGAATGACACACTGACAGTTTCCGTGATTATGTACAGCATACCATACCATGACTTCGTCATACCAAAAATTAGAAAAAAACAAAACATTC